CCTTTTCATTCTTTACAGTAGACAAGTCAGACAGACATGTTATATTAGGTTTAAGGAAATAGAGTTTGGATCTCATTTCAGTGAGTACTTTTTCAAAGAAGTTAAAAAAATCAATGGCTGTGTTTTGTTGGGTGACCCGTACCCACTAACATTTTGTTGGTCTGGTAATACTCTATACCTTAAAGTGATGAGTCATTTACAATATTCTCCCCAATTCTTTTGTACTGGCTCTTCATAACAAAAGTACCCACCTACTTTATAGTTGGGCTGAAGACCAAGAACTGAGCTTAAAACTGCATTAAGACTTTTGGAATACTGTATATAAAACAATAAAAATCATATACTATTAACCTGTTTCCGTATTTGGAATATTGATGCATTTCCTATTGCCACAGTTGGTTTTTTTAAGTAGCAAATAAGTAAGAGCTTCAAGAAAGAGTGATTAAAATGACTGGTAGAGTTAAAGAGATACAGTATCAAGATAGATTTTAAATAATTTTTATTCCAGACTCATGTAGCATTAAACTGCTTTTTGAGGACTAGCCTAACCAAGGTTGTAGAAGCTATCACTGATAACTGCCTACTTCCTGATGGCAGCCAATGAAACAAAAACAAAATGGCTTCAGTATTATGCCTCCTTTACAATTGTGTAGTAGTTGTGGCAGAAAAGAAGATAGAGGTTTAAACCATTTTTAGAAAAGCCTACAGATATTAATCTAGGTTTGATGCCCTTAAGTGTGAAATCCATAACCAGTGACCAACAAAATAACTTACTGCTAGTGAAATGAATCATATCATTCTTGACATCTGCTGTGAAACAAATGAAGCTAAATAGATGACTCGAAGGTTCTCCTTGGGAGAAGTTGATAACAGTACTGGCGAAGTTGGTTTTATCATGGGTTTAAGGACAATAAGCAGTGTAATTTCATTGGACATTGGGTTATCTTATGATAGCTCATGATGCACATTTGCAAGAAGACCACCATGGAAATAGTTTATATATCAGGTTCTGAGGGTGAAGAGGTAGGTAATTCTAGTAAGAACTCACTTTCTTTCGACTTTGCAAAAATAAGTAAGTACAGGGCAAAGGTATGCATAGGTGAGGGTAACAAAAAAGTATTAGAAAGTGGGGCAGTTAGGTGGCATAGTGGATAAAGCACCAGCTGTGGAGTTAGGAGGACCTGAATTCAAATCCAGCCTCAGACACATAACACTTACTGGCTGTGTGACTCTGGGCAAGTCATTTAACCCCAGTTGCCTCACAAAAAAAAAAAAATAAAGGTATTAGAAAGCACAGTTCAGGAATAAGAAATGAGATGCCAAAAAAAAATTGTATACTATAGATAAAGAAGTCTTATTCATGTATACTGTAAAAACTTTCAAGAATAGAATCAGTGATGGAGTTGTGAACTAGTCCAGCAATCCTGGACAACAATTTGGAATTATGTCTAAAGGGCTATAAAACTTCATACTTTTTCACTCAGCAATACCACTACTAGGTCTATATCCCAAATTGTTCAAAAAAGAAGGAAAAGGACCTGTTTGTACAAAAATATTTATAGCAGTTCTTTTTGTGGTGACAAAGAATTGGAAATTAAAGGGATGCCCATCAGTTGCAAAATGGCTGAACAAGTTGTGGTAAATGATTGTGATGGAATACTATTGTGCTTTAAGAAATGATGAACAGGATGTTCTCAGAAAAACATGGAAGGACTTACATGAGCTGATGCAAAGTGAAATGAACAGAACCAGGAGAACATTGTACATAGTAACAGAAATATTTTATGATGATCTACTTTGAATTACTTAGCTAATTTCAGCAATACAATGATCCAAGACAATTCCGTAGGACTTACGATGAGAAATGTTATTGGTTGTCAGAGAACTGATGCTCTCTGAGATAGAAGCATACTTTTTTACTTTCTTTTTCCTTTCCTTTCTTTTTTTGTCAGCGTTTTCTTTTGCAACATGGAAACGTGCAATATGGAAAAGTGTTTCGCCTAACTTCATGTATAACTGATATCAAGTTGCTTGTCTTCTCAAGGAGGAGGGAAGAGAGAGAATTTGGAACTCAAAATTTTTTTAAAATGAATGTTAGATTTTTTACATGTAATTGGAAAATATTTAGTGAAATAAAAATATACTTAAAATAATAGTGATAGACACAGTAAGCACAAAAGCAGATAAAAACAACTATATTTTAATACAAAACTCAATTCATCAAATATGTACTAACTGCTTAGTTTCTACTACGAATGTGGGAAGTATACTTCCAAGATTCCAATTCCAAGATTAATTGTGGAGGAGGAGAGCACTTAAGAACTGGGGAAATCAGAATAGGTTTGTAGGACTTGAACTGATGGTGCTAGAGATTTTAAAAGAGGTAAAAGTAAGGAGGAAGAGAATTCTAGGCACGGAGGACAGCCTGTGACAAAAGCATGGTGGCAGTATATCACAAGAAAATTTTTAAAAATGAAGAAAAGAACCATGTATATAAAAGTATTGCAGCTCTTTTGATTAAAGCAAAGAACTTGAAACTATGGAGATTCCCCATCAATTGAGGAATGACTGACCAAATTAAGGCAGTGGATAGAGTGCCAGGTCTGGAGTTAGAAAGACTCCTCTTCCTGAGTTCAAATTTGGCTTCATATACTTAATAACTGTGTGACTCTGGGTAAGTCACTCAACCCTGTTTGCTTCAGTTTCCTCATCTATAAAAATGAGCTGGAGAAGGAAATGGCAAACCATTTCAGTATCTTTGTCAAGAAAACCTCAAATGAAGTCAGGAAGAATCAGATACATCTGAGAACAATGAAACGACAATAATTTTACTATAATAATGTGCTGTGGGACATGTTGAAAGAGGTGGTTTTGAGGAAATTTGGAAGGACTTGTATGAACTAATGCAAAATGAATCAAATAGAACAACTGATACAATATCAGTATTGTAAAGAAAAACAAGTTTGAAAGTTCTGTGTAACACCATGACCAATTCCAGAGGACTTGTGACAAAACATGTTACCTGTAACCTCCTTCGTGACAGAGGTGGTTATGACATTTAGGTAGTTTGGGACGTGGCCAGTGAAGGAATTTGTTTTTCCTGACTGCATATTTGTTACAACGTTTTGTTTTATTTCCTAATTGGGAGGGAGATGTGAGGAAGAGGAGAGCTGGAAATAGGGTAGCCAGGAAGAAAGGAAGGTCATTGAGGTCTTTAAAAGAAAATGGACGAAAGAGAATAGCAAAGAGAAACACTGATACACAGGACAGCTTTGATTTCATTTATTTTATTTGTGCGTACACTCACACTCTTTCAAGTATTAAGTTTGTGATTCTTCCAATGGGATACGCAGGTGGAAATGACTATCATGCAATTGGTGATGTCAAATTGGCCCTCTGGGAAATTATGAGGGCTATTCATTTATTAAATCTGGGTCTCATCTGCATAGAGATGATGTTTGAATCCACAGGAACTGATGAAATCACCTAGAAAGAGCAGTCCTGGTTTTTGTATATATATAGTTAAGGGACATGATAGGAAAGGTAACCCAGCAAAAGAGATGGAGAATGAATAATTATACAGAAGAATCAGAAGAAAACAGTGCTAGTAAAATCTGGGAGAGAGAAAGAGAGGCGTCAAATGCCACATAGAAGTCAAGAAGGGCTTAGAAAAAGACATTGGCTTTCTCAATTATGAGGTCATTGTTAACTCTGAAGGGAAGAGATTCAGTTGAATAGGATGGATGGAAGTTAGATTTTAAATATTTGGGAAATGAATGGGAAGTTAGGAAACAGACAATGACTGCAGATAGCTTTTTCTTGGAGTTTTGTAGTGAGGTGGTCATTCTTGGAATATGTTCACTCCTCATTTGTTTGATAGAATCTCTGTCTTTAAGATGCAGCTCCATCATTCCCTTTCTTGTTCCCCTTAATTGAGAAGTTCGTAACATTTTTTTAATGTCATGGGCTCCTTTGGCAGTCTGGTGAAGTACCCTCTCAGAGTAATGTTTCTAAATGTGAAAATAAAACAAATTATATTGAAATGCAGTTTTCAGTATATCTTTTAAAAATGAGTTGACAGATTCCAAGTTAAGAAACTCTGCTTTAACTACTAATGTGCTTCCTCTCAAACTGCCTTGTGTTTAACTATTTTGCATTTATTCTCTTTATATTTGTATATATAGGAAGTTCTTGCTTTACTTATGTAAGTGGACCATTCCTCAGACCTCTATGTAAAACATATTGCAAAATTGCCCTAGGATGTGGGAGAATGAGGGGGGGAAGCAGAAAGGGAACTTGTGGTCTTGTGGAGGGAGGGGCCTGGCACACAGTTCAAGGACTCTTTGGGGCTGGAAACAGAGAAGCATGCTTGAGCAGGAGGAACACACAAAGGCTGAGGACAGGGAGAGACATGGCGTTCCTGAGTGAGAACAGAAGACATACAGGGACCAGACACACTGGCTTGACAGGGGGTGGGGGTGGAATAGCAGGGTTCCCAATCTAGCGGTGGTGTTCTTTCTGTGTTTCCCTTCTTCTGCTTTCAGTGGGAGGTTTTTTGTTTTTTTTTTTTTTGTTGTTGTTGGGGTATTGAGAGGCAATAGAGCAAGCCCCGAGCCAAGGGGCAGGATCACAGAAGGTATGAGCACAGTAAAACATAGGTATTTTTTTGAATTGTGGATTTCTGTGAAAATTCTTCAGCTCAAGTTAAATTCACTTAATCTGAATTTCTGTAAAGCAAGAACTGTCTGTCTTATTGTCTTTCATGTTAGAATATAATGTCCTTCCCAATAGGTACTTACAGAATTGTTATACCCTCACACAGTGCTTAGTATGTAGGTATCTGATTTAGGTATTGGGCTGCCAGTGAGGTTTCTCCCAACTCTGACCTTCTATTTCTGTTTTTAAAAAATGACCCTTCTGTTTTTAAATTTTTACATATAGTGAAATTTAAATGTGCAATGACTTCAGATTAATTGATGCTTTTTTTTTTTCAAATTCAGATATATGACAGATGGAATGTTACTTCGAGAAGCTATGAATGATCCCCTTCTAGAGCGTTATGGTGTTATAATCCTTGATGAAGCTCATGAAAGGACTTTGGCTACAGATATTCTCATGGGAGTTCTAAAGGAAGTTGTGAGGCAAAGATCAGATTTAAAGGTATGACATATATGCCATTTATAAAACATCCGTGCATTTAAAAAAATGTTCTGAGTACCTGTATTGATTCTGGACATTTAAAGAAAATCTTACCAAATCATTATAAGCATGAAGCTTTTTCTCTAATATGCTTTTTTGCTGACTTCTCTAACAGAAAAAAAGAAATTCCAGGGATCTCCAAATAAAATTTCCAGCATCCTGCATTGCTGTTCCTTGCTTTCATCTATTTGGAGTTTTGTTTTTTGAGTTTTTGGTGGTGATCTTCTGCCTGCTCTCTTTTTAAAACATTTAAAGTGATCTTTTTAATGATTTTTTAAAGTCTAGGCCCATGCAATTCATTTTTTTCCCCTTTAAGAGTGCTGTAGTATCATGACATTGCTATGCTTTATATCAATCTTTACCTAAAGAAGTGGGTGGATATCTCCTGCTACCCTTTCAACCTGTAACACTCAAAAGTAACATGCACTAAGCTTCTCATTTTCCTTTTGTTCAACCCCTGCAATTTTTTAACATGAACATGTTCATTGTTATCTATACTGTTTTGGGTATTTAAGGTATTAACTAATGTTGCTACTATGTTATAAAATGATGACATTCCCTTTAGATACAAATGTGGTGAGTTTTTATGTTTGTTTTTGAGTGTAAAATTGACCTTCATGGCATAGTGGATGGACAGTTGACCTTAGAATTAGAAAGAAACTGGCTGTAAGTGTTCTCTGACATATTGACTGTAGGACCCTGGACAAGACACCTAACTTCTTAGTGTCCCTGGTGAGCTCTCTTAAGGCTAAATTTCACAACAGTGGCTAATCTTCAGTGGTAGAGAGAGTTTCTTAGTGGAATTTTCCAACAGCGAAATCACAAGACCTGATTCTCCACCCTCTGCTCTCTACCCCATCTTACTCCTGTTGTATTTTTTAAACCCAGCAACACCAAGGAGAAAAATGAATGTATGTGCTTCCCAACTTTTGGAAAATCCTTTTAAGATGTATTATAGATAGTATGGGACAATAGAAACATTTTTCTTGTGCTTTCATCTTTGTCTACATATATATTTAGTGCTGTTTGTAGGTGCTCTGGAGGAGCTCATAATAATAGTTGGGAGAAAACATCCCGTATTTGTGAAATGACTAAATAACTGCATAGATTGGAGTGTTGAGAAAGAGAAAGGCTTCATGGAGAACTTGGGTGTTGAACTAGACTTTGAAGGGTGAGCAGAAGTTGAATAGGCAGAAGCAACATTTTTGAAGTGTGACCATCATAGAACCTTTTTGAGAAGGTTCCAATACAGGGCTCAAGTGTGGTGGTAACAAATTTGTTTTAGAGACTGATCAGAGTATTAGTAGATATATCTGCAGAAAAAGTACGTTGTTAAGGTAAGAGAGTATAGTATTTAGAGAAAATATAAGAAATGTTGAAAAGTAACATTTTAACTCCTTAAATGATCAAATCCTGAAGCTACGGAAACCCTCGTTGGCAACTAGGACAGAAAATGAGCTAAAAGATACTTTATATGATATGATAAATTCTTAGCTGTTCCATAACTCTTAGGAGTATTAGACATTGACATGGTTGTCTTACTTTATATTTTCACCTCCCTGCTTTGATCCTAGTTCCAGATCTGAGGAGTAACTGATACACTTTTTTTCATTCTGGCATCTCTAAAGTGGAAAGAGGCAAGGAATAGACTTAGTTTGCCACAGGCAGAAATAGAACCAAAGTAGCAGTAGCAAGAAGTACAGCTGAGCTCTAGACTACATCTCCTCCTAAAGGGATTTAGAAAATGCACTAGACTGAATCCTTATTGAGAATTGGAGAAACTGCTCCAGGGCAAGAAGTGGTCCGATTGGAGCATACAGGCCTAAATTTGTATATATTGTAGGAACAGATGCCAACTGGCAACAATGTTGCTCATTACCCAGTTTCTAGGCTCAGATCCAGAGTAGACTAAGGAGCGATCTGCGTCTAGTATTGTAATTTCAGGGTGAGGAGCAGTTGTAGGTTCTTGGTGGTATACCAAACAAGGCTCAAGTTCAGAAGCAAGGAACAGCTTTGTAATTGACCTCGGGAGTAAAGCAGAGTCTCAATTTCTAGCTTCTATGTAGTCCATTTTAAAGCCTTCAGCAGGATAACCAGGACAAGAATCCTGGGCCAAAGGGAACCCTATGGTACTATCACTCTGAACGAGTGGAGCTTTCTGGCTGGCTGTTAGTGGTGGAATCCAGCATCAGTCTACTGAGTCTTCTAAAAGAGAGTAGGCCTGAACCCAGATCAGGAAGTTCTAGAGCTCAGCCGGGGAGGCAAAAGTCAGACTTTGCCCTGTATCATACCATTTTGGGGACCAGATTCCCAGTCTAGGCTGTCCCTGAGATCCTGAAGTAACGTAACACTCAGTACCTTAAGAAAGCAGTAATAGGAACAGCCTAGATTTCAGGGGTGGGGAACTTTTGGCCTTGAGGCCACAGGTTCCCCACGGCATAGATGTTCTCCCTGGAAGTGTGCAGAGCCCAGCCATAACATAACTTCTGAGGTCAGTAAGTAAGCTGGAAGAAAGCAAATAAAAGAATCCCACCATAAAAGGCTATTGTGGTGATGGGGATGCTTAAGATACAAACTCACAAAGAATATCTTCAAAACATCTGCAAGGAAAGTGTCAAAAGAAAACACATGTTGGGTGCAAGAGCTACTAGAATTCCTGGAAGAGATTAAGTAAGAGTTTCCTTTTTAAGAGTTTAAAAAAGTTATGAATGAAATAAGAAGGCTAAAGGAAATAATTAAAATAATGGAAGAAAGAATTGGAAAGGAAATTTAACAGATTGACACACGAGATATAAAACCTTGTCTAAAGAACAAAATGTGTCTGTGAAACAAATATTAAAGTCAAAAGAAGAAAATATAAGGCAAAAATAACTGACCTCAAAAAAGGCCTGGACATCATATTTCAAGAAATCATAAGGGAAAACTGCCCAGATCTTTTAGAACCAGAGGGTGAATAGATTAATAAGGAAGGGATTTGTTCTAAGGTTATACAAAAATATTTCTAGCGGTTCTTTTTGTAATGTCAAAGAATTGTTAATGCAGGGAGACTCACCAGTTGGAGAACAACTGAACAAGTTACAGCATATAAATATGATGGCATACTGTTGTTCTGTAAGAAATGGTGCAGGGTGTGGTTTCAGAGAAGCCATCTTATTTGAGGTGAGCAAAACTGGGAGAACAACTTAGACGATGAAAACAATGTTATTAAGATTAGGAATTCTCATCAGTATAATAATCAATTAGGTTTCCAGAGTGCTCATAATATAACCAGCTACTTACTTCTTAATAGAAAGGTGAAGCACTCAGAATACAGAATGAGTCATTTTATTGGACCTTGCCAATACAAAAATTTGTTTTACTTGATTGTACATGTTTATAACAGGTGTTTAATTTTTCTTTCTTTTTCAGTGGAGATGGAAGGGGGTGGGAGGAGAGAGAAGCTGAGGAGGGAAAGAGCACGTTTTTGCTGATTGAAAAAAAATTTTAATCACTAAACAAAGATGGGCTATTCAAAAAGAAGAAACCAGGGTCAGTATCAGGAAGATTATTTAGGTTTAAGAAGCATGTTGGAGGAGGTGGTAGGTAGAGTAGTGCTGAGCCAAAATTTATGAATGTTTGAGTAAGACGAATATTATCACTTAAGGGACTTGCAGAAAAAGTAGGCACCTAGTATAAATTGATTCTTTTCTTAAGTATATAAGTATATTTTTAACATAGAAGAGCACAGTTTAAGAAGTATCCAGAAGAATGAATATCCAAGAACATTAATCCAAATTTTCCAGTTTTAAGTATCAACTAAATATTTCATATGTACTCATTATTATGAGCTTTCACAACCAAAATGAAGGATAGTATTTAGTTATACTTTAAAAATATTAAAATTACATTCATATATTACAGTCAATATCATTTTAATATTTTTCCTTTCAGGTTATCGTTATGAGTGCTACTTTAGATGCGGGGAAATTTCAGATTTACTTTGATAATTGTCCCCTTTTAACCATCCCTGGCCGTACACACCCTGTTGAGATTTTTTATACTCCAGAACCAGAGAGAGATTACCTTGAAGCAGCAATTCGAACTGTGATACAAATTCACATGTGTGAAGAGGAGGAAGGAGATCTTCTTCTTTTCCTTACTGGACAAGAGGTACTTTTATTCTTTTCATTTTATGAAACTATAGTAATGTGTTATTAGAATATAAATCAACATATTTTTGTCATTTTGCAGCTGTTGCTGTTCATAATGGTTTATATAACTCCTTTTGTGTATGACCTTAGTAGATATTGAACAGAAATTTCCTTGTACAATAAATATATTCAGATTAATATATATTTATTCCTTAAGCTTTAACTTAGAATGCCATCCTTTCATCATGTAATGCTAAGATACTAGGATCAGAGACCTCTCGAGCTTTAAAGAATCTCAGAGAACTTCTAGTTTAAAGATTCTTTTTTTAGGGACAGCTAGGTGATACAGTGGATAGAGCACTGGCCCTGGAGTCAGGAGGACCTGAGTTCAAATCTAGCCTCTGACACTTGACACTTACTAGCTTTGTGACCCTGGGCAAGTCACTTAACCCCAATTGCCTCACCAAAAAATAAAAGAAAGAAGATTATTTAAGCACCTGGGGCACTTAAGTGACTTGCCCAAGGTCACATACCAAAGTAGGAAGTGTCAAAAACAGGAGGAGAATGCAAGGGCTCTGACTCCAAGCCAATGGTGGGCTTTCCACTCTTGTCTTTGCATTTCTGTTGCTTGGTCTTGTTCTTTTAAATTTGGAGGTAAAGAGCTGCAATAAGTAATGAACACTTAATTCTTCCAGCTCCAAAATGCTCCTTTGCATTCTCTACTTACTAGAATTTGTGTTAGCAAGCTCTTCTCTTAAAATGAAAGCATTTATTGAAGGGAAATTTCCAATTTTCAGTGCCCTGTGCTCTGAAAAACTATTTTCTTATCCATTCCTCCTAATCTCTAAGAATCCTCTTTCTTTTGAATAGATATAACCATATTCTGTTCCTGAGTTTCATTCCACCAAGGCTCAGTGATACCTCTTGTTGAACCTCAGTTTCCTTTCAGTTATTGCTTAAATGTTGGACAGTTGATTAAAGACATGATAGGAGTTTTATCACTGGGTCTCTTCTAACTTTTTTGTTCTCCTGAATTTCTGGACATCTTTACTATTAAATTACTATTAATCTTCACCATGACTTTTCTCTCTATAGCTTTTTTGGTGGATATACAAAAGTATATATACTCTTCCTGTATACATCCTTTTTATTTTAAAGTCCCTTTAATTAGTTAGACTAGACACCAAACAAATAATTTTTTTTTAATTCAGAGAAATACATTCTTAATGCTTTTTGTTGGATGTCTTCTCTCCCTCGATAAGAATCTGTCATCCTTACACTTTGAGCTTATTCCCAGAAATATACATTGCATTCTAAGACCCAACTTGTTTGCCTGTAATTAGCCCATAATTGACTTTTTCCTTCTGGACCCATTGCAAAAGGACAGGATTTAGGGAAATTCATCTTTTGCCAATACTTTCTGAATTCATTCTGGTACTATCATTGTTGCTCACATATATCATTAGAAGTAGGTAGTGTTCATTCATTTTGACAGGTCTTGGGAAATTCTTTGATATTTCTTGACATTGTGCCCAGGGAAGACTAACATTTCCCTGATAATAATGTCAGTGCCTTAGTACCATAGTACTAATTTGAGGTAGTGAATATTAAGTAACAGAAGCAGGATTTAAGCATAGATACTCTAGTTTTGTTTTTGTTAGACCATTTTCTTTAGTGATATCACTAAATTAAAGAGTATAAACAAATGGTGAGACCTATTAAAAAAGCTCCACTTCTGGTGTAATAGTGTATCTTCCTATCTTCCAGTAGCCCTTAGATTTGAACCTTGTGAAGGCCATGATCCATGACTATTATAAACACTGTTCATGAGTATAAATCTCCTGTTTTTAGACCTTGATTGTTGCTGATAACCAAGGGTTTCTGGTTTTATTCATCAGCTACTTTTACACAATCTTCATTTGCATGAGAAATTCTTTTGGGAAAATTTTTGAGGCTGTATTTTATTTCATTGAGTTAAATAGCTTTTTGTAATCAGTAGACCCAGTGGGGTCTTCTGTCCCCTGAATCTTTCAGTTGGTTGATGATTACAAATGGGTGGTGTGCTTTAATTAATCATTGGCAGAAACCTGGGTTACTATCTCAGTGTTTTTGGTCTGGTATAGTTGTTCTTCCCATAACCTTAAAAAGTATGGAATAAGAATTTTGACAAAGGGAAGATATTAGCATGTTAAATGGGTGTTGATTTCAGTTACTTTCTTAACTGCTAGATTGTGGATTATTTAATGTTTTAGTAAAAATTAAATTGACATCTCATAATTTTTAGAATACTTGATAAAAAATATTTCAAGAAATGTTTGTTACCATTTTAGCAAATCACAATATTAACTTTCAATTACACATCTGATTATTTGTTTACCTCCTACTTTAGTATTTGATAAATATTTCTTTCAGTATATTTCCAATGAAAATCATAGTGTAAAATATACCCTAATTTTATCTGTACACATTTCATTTGAATACCTCAGCTTATAATAATTTTTCATTTGGTTGAAATTTTAGCAAAATTTTGAACTATATTTTTAGGCATTTTTAGACACTATTAATCTCATTCTTGACTATCCATGTTGATACTGTAAAGGTGTTTATCCTTATTAGGTATAATAAAGCAAATCTTCCATATAATTGCAGTAGTGATATGTGACATTAAAGCTTAATTGGTTTATTTAAAATATTTTGCCCATCAATTTCTTTTAGATTGTGAAAATTGAAAAGGTCATGAGTACAGTTTAATATTCCTGGGTGAGAGATTTCAATTTTAGCACAATTTGTTGAGAATTAATTAGGAAATCTGACTTGAAGAAAAAGGGATGTTGAATGTAAATAAGGCCATTTATGTGTTCATTAGAATATGGAAGCCTCGGCTTCTTGGGACTGTTGTGAAAACCTATTGGTGTTCACTAGATTTGTTTAAGTTGTTAAATTGAGAATATAGTGTCCATGAAGATAAAAATGTGCTGGTATACACAAAATAATCTTTGCATAGAACTTGATTATGATAAATACTTGAAAAATATTTACATTCATGTTGGTTTTGTTTACTTTAAACTTTTTTTGGTAGGAAATTGATGAAGCCTGTAAAAGAATAAAGCGTGAAGTTGATGATTTAGGTCCAGAAGTTGGTGACATTAAAATCATTCCTCTGTATTCCACACTTCCACCTCAACAACAACAGAGAATTTTTGAGCCTCCTCCTCCAAAAAAACAAAATGGAGCAATAGGACGAAAGGTAACAAAGATTTCTTATTATTTCATATTCTATAGCAACTAGACTGCTGTGACCTAACAATCATCATAATTACACTTTTTTTCTACTGTTTTATGGTTTGCAAAATATTTTCTTCACAATAAGTTGGGAAGTAGGAAGCACAAATGTTATTCTCTCTTAACACTGAGGCACAGAGAAGTAAGGGCAGCTACTAAGTGTCAGGGTTGGAATAGAGAAACAGCTGGAGAGGATAGAGCAAGCACTTAGTCATTACTAGATAAGTCACATAAGTAATACTATTAGTACAGTATTCAGTTTGTTGAATGAATTCCTAAAATCTTTGGGGAATACTAAACCAAGTGATTTCAGAAGTATAGTGCTGTGGGTAATTATTAACTTGATTTCATTTAGAAATTTCAAGTCCTTTGTCTTCAAGAAAAAAATAAATATTTTATTGGTATTCCTCAATTTCACAACTTGTGAATAGATATATTCCAGTAAAAATTGATTGTAATAGGGATTCTCAATTTCTCATTTGGAGAAGCCTTGTAATAATAACCAAGATTCTAGGGAGTATACAGTCTGCTTATGACTAATTGAAATGAATTGAGGCTTGTTTTTTGTTTTTTTAATAATTCTTCATGAAGTTCATGTCAGTTTCTCTATGTTACTTTTGGCTCTAATTAAGACCTTTTTAGAACAGTTAACATGAATGAGAACACTACTACAATTCTTCGCTTTGGTGATATACCTACTCCCCCTCTTCTCCTGCCCCCCCCCCCTTTGTTTTAACTTATAACTTGACTTAGTCATCACTCATCCTGGAAGTTTGCTAATTGATTCAGCTAGAATTGCACACTGCTCAATAAGGAGGGGAAATGGGCACTGTGGAAATGCTTCTGTAGTTTTAAAGAGAGGCTTAATGATCCAAGAACAATAAGATAAGTTAGTGCCTGCTTGGAAGTTGAGGAAACCAACAAGTTAACATCCTTCCTGAATTGTTGAGCTTAACATCTTGGCAATTGATCCCATCACTTCCTGGCAAATAGAGGGAGAAGAAATGGAAGCAGTGTCAGATTTTATATTCTTGGGCTCACAGATTGCAGACGGTGAGTGCAGCCATGAAATTCAAAGGTCCTTGCTCTTTGAAAGGAAAGCTATGGCAAATCTAGACAGCATACTAAAAAGCAGAGGCATCATCTTGCTGACAAAAGTCCATGTAGTCAAAGCTATGGTTTTTCCAGTAGCAATGTATGACTGTCAGAGTTGGACTGTAAGGAAAGCTAAGTGCCACAGAATCAGTGCATTTGAATTGTGGTGCTGAAGAAGACTTTTGCAAGTCCCTTGGACAGCAAGGAGATCAAATCAGTCAAAACTTAAAGAAATTAGTTCAGGCTATTTGTTAGAAAGTCAAATACTAAAGCTGAAGCTTATATACTTTGGTCACATAATGAGAAGACAGGAGTTATTGGAAAAGACCTTGTTGGGAAAGATTAAAGGCAAAAGGAAGAAGGGAATGGCAGAGGAAGAGATGTGTCATGATAGTGTCATGGAAGTAATGAACGTTTACTTGGACAGACTTTGCAAAATAATGGAGGATAGAAGGGCCTGATGTGCTGTGGTCCATGGGGTGACACGACTGAACAACAATAGCACAAAGTAAAACCTTGAGGACTGAGAAAATAAACTAGTTTAACCAAAGTGCATTATTATTTTGAGACAGTACATATATGGATCACCTGAAATATGATTGAACTAATCCTGCTACTTAAAAGTCAGTTACTGAACTGTATCCCAAGTGGATTATTCCCTGAGCTCAGCATTCCATTTCCTTTCTTTGTTTGCATAGGATGGTCCCCCATACCTTGTGGGCATTTCCTTCTCAACTTTTCTTCAAGGAAACTCAGAGTCAGAGCTGAAAGGCACCTTAGAAAGCATTTAGTCCAACCCCCTCATTTGGCAGGTTGCCCAGGCTTGTGTTAGTATTTGATGGTAAAGCCTTCAGATGAATTCAAGTCAAAGTCCCTTGACTTCAGATGTAGCTCATTTTCCTCTCATACTTCACATAATTTCATGGTTCAGGTTAGTTGCAGTTGGGAGAGAAAGGGGCTTTCTTGACCTCCTAGTAGTTAGTGTGTTTTTCCTAATCATTTATCTTTTTTACATACATATTCCCAGTAAAATGTAAACTTCTTGGGGGCAAGGACTATTTTTCATTTTGTCTTTGTATTCTCCAGTACCTAGCACAGTGCTTTCTTTCCTTGTACATAGCAGGTACCTACTAAGTGCTTACATCAGGCTATCCCTGTGATATGCATGTTAACCAGCCCCTAAGTTATTTAACTTGAATTACGACCACCTCTCTCTCATTCCCTACTTTATTACTGTTTCCCTCAGCCTTGGCTCTTGCCCCTTAAATAACCAGTAATGAGGCCCTTAGTCTTAAACTGTTCTGAAACGGGTTTTCAGAATTCATCATACCTCACCTCTAAACTTTGGACAGTGTATTTTCTGGAGAACTTGGAAACAGTTGTGACTTATCAAGATAGTCATTGAGTAGAAAAGACCTATTAGATTTTCTCTGCTTGTTGGTCATCCTCACTTCCAAAAGTTGATGCCATGATGATGAAACTTTTATTGTTTACTGCTGGGGGATGTTGTTTCTAATCTCTGCTTTCACGGACATGTTGAGCTTTACTGCTCAATACCTCAGTAATTATCAAGACAACCTTTTCCTTATGACAGTCATTAAATTACATTCTGGTGGAGATGCAGCCTGGCACCTACCTTGCAGGTGCTACAAAGGACCTAGAAAAGAAAGTGCTTGGCACTGTCAGATGTTGTAACATCAGAACAGATATCATTTTATCAATGGAAATGACATTCGAGAGAAGGATTGACATCGACTTTATCACTGTGGCCTAAAGACCAGGAGAATTTTCCACCTGGTTTAGAGCTGAAAACTTCCATGTGTGCTTGTGTTGTCTCCCTCATTATAGTTTGATCTTCTTGACAACAGGGGCTGTCTATATTTTTATCCCCAGCATGCTTTGCATATAGTAAGCACTAACTAAACGCTTCTTTCCTTCAGTTGTATCACTGCAGATTAATAATCTGTAAAGACTTCTGGGAAAGAGGGACTAAGCTAACCAACTCTTGAGTTCTTTATTTAATCCTTCTTTTAAAAAAATTTGGTTAACATTACATTTGTTTGTTTTGTTAGGTCTGAGTGCCTGAACCTTTGTGATGCATTACACACATGCACACACGCGTGCACCATGTTACACTATTCTGGTTGTAGTGGTGTCATGTCATTGGTGGCGATGGTTTCCAAAAGGAATTTAAAATTACATTTCATATTGCTGATAGTTTTGCAGTTCTTTCTTCCCATCTCTCCCTCCACCCCCCCATGCCCCAAATCAGTAGACCTCAGTCTACTGTAAAATCTGCTACCATAAAAGGGTACTCTTTTCCTGTACTACCACAAAGTGTACATTGAATTTTCTCTTATATCTGGAAATCATAGGGATCAGTAAGTGACTGAAACCCCATTTGTACAAATTCCTATCTAATGTACTAATGAAGTAACATTCCTGTTGAGTACCTCCTCCTTTAACCTGTTCTGTGGGATGGGATCTTAGAGATCACAGCCTGCTTCACAGATTTATTGTGAGGAAGGCACTTTTTGAATACAGATGTGCTGTATAAATATTATTTATCATTAAATCAAGTTACTTTCCCCCAGGTCCACGTTGCAAAGCTGTGGCTGAACAAGAACTAGAGCTTATACTTCTTGACTTCTGAGGCCTATATTTTTCTAGATCAGTTCCCATTGACCCATAATTAGATTGCCGCTCCTGGAACACAGGGGTTGGGATCTACTAATGGGTGGGTTCAGGTTATATAAAAAAAACAGTAGTGAGGCTGCTATTGTTTATATCATTCATTGGGCACTTCTACTATGCCACAAACAAAGCAACTACCACCACCTGTAATTTGTCTCTATTTACCAACCTCTTTTAATACCTGTAGTGGAGGAGGGAAATGATGTTGTTCACTGTAATGTTGTTGCTTCCATTAGGCTTCTTTCAACTTTTGACTTTGTAATAAAGATTCGTTATCATCAAATCTCTGTTTTTGTTTCCATGGCTGAAAACACAGAGTAGTTTTGTATCATAGTCGGACAGCCATGTGTGATCCACAGCTGCTGCTTTCCTGCCCTTCACACTCCCACTCCCTGCCATGCCCCTGCCCCTCCTGTAACTCAACTATACTGTTGTTATAACAGGAACAACTACACTTTTCAAGGAATTCAAATCTGATATAAGCCCATTAATATTATGAATCATATAGTTTGCCTCTTGTCTATTACTCTTCAGCTCTCTCCATCATGAATTCCAGGGGTGGGAATAGCTTGAGAGGAATTCTGGAATTGCTAAGAGCCAGCGAAGTTCTGGGTAGCAGCTAAGAAGAAACAGATATACAGCATCCATCATAACTAATGTTCTCACTTCTGGATTTGATGTTTTCTATGCCTCATGTGGCTCATAGGCATCATTCTTCCTTCATATCTCCCCAAATGATACTCAAAGAAGGCCCAAGATATTTGCCGAAGATTTGTGTGAAAAATTCCTCTGTCATGGTCTTATTGTGCTTACATATTAAGTGCCCTATCACTGTGCGATGTTGGGTCCTTTTCATTTTGATACTGTTCAGGGGAATATCAGAGGGATGTTCCCATGCTGATGTCCATTAAGTTCCGTATCTCTACACTAAGAATTTTTGTACCTGTGTTTTTTTGAGACAACATGATTACAAAAAATAAACCAGGTATTTTTAGAGCTTCAGATATTTTTCAGCTTCCAGGGTTAAATTCTAAAGTGTTGGCTGTTGATCAAACTGCATCCCTTCTCCCTTTCCTTACTCCTGACTTATGACTATTCTCTGAAAGTTAATCCCTGTGTCACTTTAATATTATAGGAGAGGCAGTATAGTACAGTGGATAGTGAACCGTCCATGGAAGCTGGAAGATATGAGTTCATATCCTACCTTTGACACATACCGTTTGGGTGACCCAGAGCAAATTGCTTAACTTCTTCGTGCTCTAAGCGTCTAAGACTATAATTTGCAGAGAAGGTTCCTACCTGCATTGGGAGAGGAAGTTCCTCACTAGGAGCAACTGAGAAGTTATTAATGTACTATTTGATATTCAGCATGATAATTACGTGTTATTAGTGAGGGAAATTTGTCCTGTCCACTAGAAAGATTTGTATTTCGTTGACTTCTGCCATTCAAAATGATTTAATTCTCTAAGTGTTCTCTATAACTAAATATTGTATACTTAAAATTTTTTTTTTGATTAAAAGCAAACTACCTATTTTACTGTTCCTGTTGGCATGTCCTGTTATCCTGCTGAGTCAGGCATCTTAAACTTTTGTCTTGCTATAATTTCATTTCTAATTGCTGATCATTCATTTTTAAACATATTTTCCAGTTGCATATAAAAAAAAATCTGACAGCCATTTTTTTTTTAACGTTTTGAGTTCCAAATTCTCTCCCTTCTGCCCCCTCACCTCTTTTGAGAAGGCAGTTTGATACTGATTATACCTAACACAGTCCTTTTTTATGGAATTACCATGTAATGAAACACTTGGAAATTTTCAATGAATTATTAAAATTAACTTTTAAAACTTTAACACAGTTGTAAAAATTTTGCTTCTAATTATGTACCTTGGATTATTAATGTTTTGAATTATTGATGTCACTAATGATCTGGTACAAGTGAGAATAATTTATGCTCAAAGTGTAAGTTGTTTAGCTATGAGAATTTTTATTTGTCAGGTTATGTACAGTAAAAGCCTCATTAGGATCACACAGCTTCATTCATACTACCCAGAAGATGCAGTATGATGCAGTGAAAAAAGTAATGATTTAGCCCTGTAACTTGCCATTTGTGTGACTTTGAATGAAGTTACTTCTTTGAGCTTTTCATTCCTTTCTAGTTCTTAGTCCGTGATCGTAGGAAAACAGCTGGAGGACAAACTTGCTGTTTTAGTAAAAATTAAATCAGTATTTGTTCAATGAATTAACCTGCAACTCTGAGGATTTTGTGAAATTTTTTTAGTGTTTATTGTTATTTGCTTATCCTGAACCTAAACTCACAATTTGAATATATTTTTAAGCACTTGAATTTTGTAGGAGGAACCTACAATTAAGATTTAAGTAGGCCAGGTTGTATTCATTTTGATTAAGAAGACAGTTGGATTAAATAAGCAAAGAGAATCACTTAACCTATATAATTGCTAGAAAATATTTTATATTTACTGTAATTTATTGAGTTTAATTTTGTGTTACATCTGGTGTTTATCTTATTCAATAGGTAGTTGTGTCTACCAATATTGCAGAGACATCACTAACAATAGATGGTGTTGTGTTTGTCATTGACCCTGGATTCGCGAAACAAAAGGTAACTTGCTTTCACAACTTGATATAAAATAATTTAGGGTTTTACAGTCTTTTTGCATAATCTTTTGGAATTTTTTAGTGTCCTACTTGAAAAATGTGAACAGAAGTAATTTTATATTACCCAAGTCAATAAGCATTTATAACCATTTTCTTGAATTGAAGAGGACTGTCCACAGATCTTTGCAACTAGATTGTATTTTCTTTTTTTCTTTAAGAGAGTTGGATAGTAGTAAATGTTGAAAATAGTATAGCTTTACTCCAAAGACCAAGTCATTGAGTCTTTTGACTAAAATCTCTCCCTCTATCCTCCCTCCAAAAAAACAATAACAACAACAAAAAAACCCACCTCATAATTGTTATTCTTCCAGCTAGAAAATTATGTTGAATATCTAGAATATTTTCATAGCCAGAATGGCCACTTTAGTATGCAGGTATTGAATAATCCCTAGTATTTTAATAGATCTTTTCCTAATATTGTGGTTATCCATTTTGATTCGCTTTAGGGTTAGAACTTAATACACATATGTTTTGAAGAAATCCTTGCTCCCTAGAGTGAATATTATGAATATTAGCAGTATAGTCATTGGAATTTTTTTTTCATATTGGGGACCAAATTTTTTATTTGGAAACTCATTTCTGAAACTATAGTGAAATTCACTGGGGGAAAATACAATTTCTTTTTGTTGAATGATTCAAGAATTTTTCTAACGGAATACATGAACTCATATGGTAGTAGGATTAAAATTTATGTCCTTAGCTTCCATGGAGTTAAGACTCCTGGATAAATAGGGTAACTTGGAAGTTTTTGAGGTTAGCCTTAGCCTTTAGGAATTTAGGGAGCTAAATTAACAGCTTCCATAAACAAATCAAGATAGATATACTCCAATTCTTCCTTTGCTGCCACATCTTTTACCATTGTGCAAGTGTCATGAATATACCAAGAATTGCAGTGTTTCCATTTTGGGGGCTAGTGTGAGTCACCAGGAGTCTTTATCAGGGCACACATATTTAGGTGAAGGAAATAACTATTGTTTGACTTGATACTTCCATTAGGTTTATAATCCTCGAATTAGAGTGGAGTCTCTTTTGGTGACAGCAATCAGCAAAGCTTCTGCCCAGCAAAGAGCTGGTCGAGCTGGTCGTACCAGGCCTGGAAAATGTTTCAGACTTTATACAGAGAAAGCCTATAAAACTGAAATGCAGGTAAGAGGTTCATTTCATTTAATGTATGACTTTTCTGGGCACCATAAACTGATTATTTGCCCAAATTTGTTAAGTTTTTAAGCTGTCAGAAGGCAGCAGTGGCAGTTTAAAGACTCCTTTCCAATCAACAAAGATCTGTGATGTAGATAAATCTTAAAATCAAACAGATACCTAATATATAGCACCTGTTACATGTTAAAACTACACTTTTCATATAAGAAACAAGGTTTCTTTATTCTCAGTCAGTGTTTGGCTTATTTGCTTTTGTGTTCTGCTGGGACAGGCAGAGGTAAGAATATGCTCTTTCCTGGAGGAATGGAGTGAGAATAAATGTAAAACAAGCAAAGCCATTATCTTAACACAGCACTGTGCTTTTCTTTTAGGACAATACTTACCCTGAAATTTTGAGGTCTAATTTGGGTTCAGTGGTATTACAGTTGAAGAAACTTGGTATAGATGACTTGGTACACTTTGATTTTATGGATCCACCAGGTAAGTTTTTTTTTTTTAAATAACATTGTTCTGTAATAATGTTGCCAGTGTTGCTTAAAACAATTTTTAGTTTTATCTTAGTGAAATTCTCTGTTAATTACCTCTTTTATGTGATGAAACTCAATAAAAACATAATAATTTCGCTTCTTCTTAAATGAGTTTTATGAATGAGTTTAATATTTTTATGAATGACCTATATTTTATATATATCCCATTTGGGGACTATAGACTTGTAAAATGTGGCCATTACAAATATAAATTTGTGTTCTAGTAAATTTAATAAAAGGATATTAAGCATTTAAAAAAATCATTTTATTTGTGCATTTCACAGTCAACAGAGATTTCAGCTCTGACCTAATTAGTCTAATCCAAGTTTTCCAGAATGCTTTCTATTAGTCTGGTTTATGGTGAACATTTATGCCTTACTTAGGACTCTTTAGGATTGATATTGAGTTCTTGGGGCCTGTATAGATATAAAATTGCTGTATCAATTATTGACAACTTTGTTTTCTTATGTAAGTGGTCTCCAACTTGCTAATGTGTATCCCAAAAATTTGTGAGCCAGTCATGTATAATTCAGGATATATTTATACATTTTTCTAAAGGGAGAAAATGTTGTAAATAATGGTAAGGTTCAGAGAACAGTTGCATCGTTGGACAGGTTACATGGGCTAAGTGCTAAGAGTTGGAGTGCTAATACCTTGATTTTTAATAGCTTGACTTCTGCGTCTTAGGAGCAAGTGCCCAAGTCGTGTAGGAAAGAGAAGGAAGGTGAATAAAGATGTTTCCTGAGCTTTCTTTTGTGCAACTTTGACCCTCTACAAGATTTTGAAATGGTTGAAGTTTATATTTCATGTTATCTCATCTTCAACTTAACCTGTTGTCAGTCATTTATTTGGAGTTAAATACATTTTCCCATGAGTAAGAACTATGTTTTTGTCTTTCTTTGTATCCCCAGCACGTAGCATAGTACAATGCCTGGCACATGGTCAGCACTTAATAAGTGCTTGCTAATTTATGGAGGTCACCCACTGGCTCACCAGGTGTACTAATGTACCCTTTTCTCCCACATACCTGATGATTATATATAGTAGGATGTATTTAAAATTGGAAAGGACCTTAGAGAGTGCATCAAGCCCAAACCACTCATTTTATAAATAGGAAAACTGAGACCCAGAAAGGTTAAAAGGCCCAGAGTCACAGCTTGTGCCTGAGATAGGATCTGATGCCACTGAACCACCTTCATCTTCCTTAATTTTCCTAGTGAGATACCTTATCCAGTCTTTCCGTATGTAGGTAGAAAATCTCTATTTTTTTTTCTTTTGGTTAGGCAATGGAGTTAAGTGACTTGCCCAGGGTTACACAGCTAGTAAGTGTTATATGTCTGAGGCTGAATTTGAACTGAGGTCCTCCTGAATCCAGGGCCAGTGCTCTATCCACTGCGCCACCTAGCTGCCCCGAAAATCTCCTGTATTGCCCATTATTCCAAATGAAAACCTCTGTTTCCTTGATAGGTAATCTTAGCATTAGATAATTTGATTAAATTAATCATATTAATGATTAAGGATTAAAAACCCTAATCTTTTAAAAGAGATTTTGCATTTTTAAAAGGAAGATTATTAGCCTTAAACATCTGACACTTAGAAAAATTATGGACATAACAATTAAATAAAAATATTGAGACTTTGCACAAGAGTCTGCCCTGTTATAATTCTTCTCCTTTTCCTAATGCCTGCTTTTATGAGCTTTTTCAACTCACACAACTTGCATTTTCTCCCTGATTGATATTAACATGCTGCCTTTGGAAGATTTCCAGAGGTTTTTGCCAACACGCAAACCGCTTTGCTCCAAAATAACTGTGTGACCAAGGGACAGTCATTTTGCTTCTTTTTGCCTTAGTTTTTACAACTATAAAGAGGAAGTCAAACTAGATGTTGTCTAAGTTCTCCAGTAACTTCTAAGGTTCAATGATACTAGCCTTTTTTGAACCCTTAAATTGAAATTTTCTTAGGCTTCAGACTTGGGGTGAGGTTTGTGTGTATGTGTGAACATGTTTGTTTGTATTGCCACATTTAGACACTGCCATTGATATTTTTAGGAATTAAGATGTTTGTCTTACTTTGGGAAATACGTATTTAGTGTAAAGTGTATAGCATAATACTAATTGGTTAACAAATTATCTAACCCTTTTAGAAGAAAGACTGACTTTTAAACTCCTCTTTAGCAAACTTTGAAATTTTGGTTGCTAGATTCCTATAATTGAATTTGATGACAGCTTGAAATTTGAATTTGGCCCACTGTAGTATGAAAAATGAGTTTGCTTATAATAGTTTGTACTTTGTCACATTTTTGCTTACTAAAGGCAGCTTGACTAATAGAGTATTTTTTCTTCCAGCTCCTGAAACTCTGATGAGAGCCCTAGAGCTTTTGAATTATCTAGCTGCTTTAAATGACGATGGAGACTTGACTGAATTGGGATCCATGATGGCAGAATTTCCATTGGATCCACAGCTCGCTAAAATGGTTATTGCAAGTTGTGACTACAACTGTTCTAATGAGGTCCTATCTATTACTGCTATGTTGTCAGGTAATAGAGGGAAAAAGCCACCCCCATCTTTTCCCCCTCTCCCTTGGCCCCCTCCATTTCTTGCCTCCCTCCAAAAAAATCCCAATTTGGGTGGATATCACTTAGTTTTTTTTCTGACATATGCTAGTTTGATGTATATTCTCAGAAAGAACAGATACCTTGTATATGAAAATATTTACTTAAATTGAAGAATAAAATCTTCACAGAATTTATAAAAAGCAAAGTAATTTATTGTATGAAACATAACAAAAATAATCAACTTTGAAATACTATAATAAATTGCTAAATTGTAAAGAAAAGAATACTGGTACCTCACTATAACAGTAACTGTTATAATCCCATAATTCAGAATTTTGAACAAGGTGGGTCACTTATAGACTTACCTCCCTAGGTTTGTCATTAGTACCAGAAGGACCTTGTTTTGAACACTGTTATAGTGATCCTCTTGATTGTGTAAAAATATGCCAGTTGAAAAGAACATCAATTAAAAACTGTCACTGTGAAAGAATAAAAATAGTAATGATAACAAAAGTCTCAAATCTAACTCAGTCTGTTTAAATGACTGTACTTCATGATGGTAGAAACATTTATAAGGCATGTCTAGTATGTAAAAGTCTAAATTTGAAAGCCAGACATTGATTCAAGAAAGAAACATCCATTTGAGTAAAGCTCAATCTTTGAATGATACCAGCTTAGATATAAATATTCCAAAAGCAAGAAAGGAAATATCAGTAAAAAAATTTAATATTGAGCTTTACAGCTATAAGTTGCTGATGTGGTAGTTGAGTGAAATTTGCAGTAGAAAAATAACTTAATGGGATGAGATTTTGTACATAATATAACTGACCTGTAACTAAGGTGCTCATTCATGCATTTATAGATTTAGATACTGGGGAGAATGGACTTTATGTTTAGAAACAGCTGCTCACTGTGGTAATCAGGATATCTATGTATGATGGTTTTAAATATTTAAAAGCCTTATGCAATGTAAACCCTCTCCTGATTACTTCTAAATTTGTTAAAAAGAGAAACTAAAAAATGTTTTATAAAGTTGTGGCCTAGTTCAGTCTTGTGGCATATATTAATGGTGTGAATTTTTTTTTTATTTATGAACTAGCTAAAATGTTTTTTTTTTGCAGTTATAATTGATCAGACTCAGAGCAGATGGGCAGGGCAGAATCTAATCATTTTAACTAAATTGTAGTCTTAATTGCGGAGGTGGTGGTAGGTTGTTGTCTGCCTTTCTTATATGTTGTTTTTATTAGTTTCTCCAGTTAGTTTCATCTTCCCCTAGATTTAAGAGAATTTGTGGTTGGCAAAAGCAACAGGTTATTTTTATGCTTCACCCGCCTTTCCCTTGTCGTTTTCAACCTTTACTGCCTGTTTTGTTTTCTAAGGTTTTCCCCTTTCTGGAACCTAGTTTTAGAGTTGATAGGAAAGTTAACTCTTTAAGGAAATTATTATTTGGATTCACTTGAAATCTTCCAACTTGTTTTAAATTCCCTTCTTTTCGTGGTTCTGGTCAGTAATAGATGTTCTGCATGAAATGATTGTTTAGTGATGTTACATAGTTCACCACAGAAATCATAAAGTTTGAGCTTACTTGCAGCAGTACATGGACAGGCATTGGGAAGAAATTAGTGAACTAACACAGAGGAACCGTTGAACATTAACACTTGCTAAGCTTCTCGTGCTTTATTTTCCATCTTAAAATTTTTAAGTTTCAGAAATTCTGAGGTCCTGACATAAACTGTGCAAAAAACAAGGGCCTTCTCTTCATATAATACTATTCCTTCCCTCTATTCCTTAGTTATGGTGACCAGTTTTCCACATTAACTTTCTGATATGTAGTCACAGCAGTGTGAATTTTTTTGCGCTTCCAATTCCTTGACTTGCTCCTATTATTTTAAGTCAGACCTCTAATATTTACCATGAATGTATCTTTATTTTCTGTTGGCTATTTGACATCTTTTTAAGGGGAAAAGGTTATGGGAAAGAGTAATTCATTTGGCACTGTATTTGGTCTTCAAGTCTGCTAGTTCCATTTCCATATGGATTGATGATCGCTTATGATATTTTCATTGATAATCAAGAGTTGAAAAGCTTTGCTTTTAAAATGTGTTGAAAAAGGTCCCAATTTGTTAAAAATTTAATTTTTTATATTCTCATGAATATGGAAATTGCTAAAGTGATTTAAGGAAAGTTGTATTTTTTTAATGCAGTGTACAAAACACCTTGTATTGACTATAGCCTTATTTGAATTAAGATTGAGGCTTTATACAAATACATACTGGGCTTACCTTACTGGAAATTTTGATGACCCTTGAAATAATGAATGTCATGGGCTTACGGTGTCCACTCTCCTATTATTGAGTGTTGGTTTTTATTTGGGCATATTTATTCAAAATACCATTTTTTAAAATCTTCGTTTAGAATTCTCTATTTATTGGTCCTTTAAGATATTGAAAGAATAGGCTGAATTCCTCCCAGCCTTTTGGTTGAATTTCCTTAATTTAAATAATAGTAAAGGGCGGTTTAACCTTCCACCACTACTGCTACCATCAAAACCCAAGTTTCCTTGATATTTTCTTGTTCACATATACTTCTGCACACCAGTGCTTATAGTAATACCCACCAGTGGTGACAGCCACAACACTTTGTAAATTTTTTTCATTTAATTGTGGTAAATAGGACTAGTTATAAAAAGTGTTTATAACCACAGCAGTGCTGAAGTATAGTTTTAAATTACTTGTGTTATTTAATGGACTTCCTACTTGAAGAGATAGATGTATTTAGCTAAAAGGCCCTTGTCACCATAATTCTGGTTATTGGTAGAGCTATCAGCACTGGTTTTTGAAATAAGTTCTATTGAGCCTTCCTTTGTATACTTTTTAGCAATCTTGATGGCCTTCAGAATAGCTGTTTTGATGCCTACTTTTAGTTCTAGTCAAAATAATCAGGTACTCTGTAGCTTTGAAACCCTCTTGTCTTGCAGATGTGGTTAGGTGTTGATGTACCAAATCAAGGTAGTAAACAGTCCAAGATGCAGTTGGAGGCCATCCTGCCCTGCCCTATGCTCTGTGAACTGACCTAGCTAGGCCTTGTTCCTCTGTCTGTGAATGCGTGACTCATCGATATGGGCGTTTGTGTTGGGCCCATACCAACCTTGTTTAGTCCCACAGTGTTTTGTTCGCCCCACGGAGGCCAAGAAAGCAGCAGATGAAGCCAAGATGAGGTTTGCCCACATAGATGGAGATCATCTGACACTGCTGAATGTTTACCACGCTTTTAAACAAAGTAAGTTTTAATTACATTCAATTTCCACTTTTACCTAAATGTCAAGTGATAACATTGATTTCTATTTCTCATTTGACTTTCATTCATTTTTGTGTTTGTGTATTTATTTACATTAATGAGACCTTTGTATTAGAAACACATCCATAGTTATTTTAAACTCTTGCCTGGGGTAAAAAAAAATGGAGATCTTGCTCTGGCTAAATGTATTTTATTTAGTAGCCTCTGTTCCAACAATAAAGCTACATCTTAAATATTTATTGAATAGTAGTAACTTTTTATTCTAATTATTTTAAAAATTACCAAGTATTGCTAGTCCATGTGACAGATATTTGTATGAAAATTCTTTTATATTTTTGCCATCATTATTTAGGTCCTGAGATTTCATATGATAGTAGGATAGTGAATACGTCAAAACAGTAAAATAATAATCTCAATGTAAAGCATGAGTTTTGTGGTACTTGCATAACACCATATTGTGATCATGTTGGTTATTGATCAGTAGACTGAAAACATAATTTTCTGTAAGATGATATTAATGCAGAGTTGTTGCTGCATAGGTTTCTGCTTATATAAAAATATAAGTTCTGAGTCCTTTTTTGCTTCTGATTCTAAATGTTTTGGAAATGATAAAACATTAGCTTTCTTATACCATGCTTTCCCCGTGATATTTATGTAATTTGTCCATTACTGCTGAGGAAAGGGAGTCTGGGTCAATAATTAACTTCTTTGACCTCCTTTTAGAATTCTTTTTCCTATATAACTCTCACTTCCATTAACTACTGGGAATTACCTGTTCTCCATTGGGCATGCAGATTTTCAGTTTCTCACATCAGTGAGGGATTGCCATTAAATTAGGCAGGAAAAGACATGGCTAATTTCATCTTTCCCTCTCGTCTTTAAAGTTGTATGGTTAGGGTTGTGTGTGTATGTGTGTTTGTGTTTTAATGTCAAGGCCTTTATACATATTAGTAGATTTAATAGTTTAAGTGGCAAAGACTTTTGAACTTAGATCCTCCCTGCCTTTGGTCATTTTGATTAGTATGAAAATTACTCCCTGAAAGGTCATAGGGGGAGAAAATCAAACAAATCAGTTGTTTTTGGAATTGTGTTATCTTTATTTTGACTCACTAAGGATTTGGAAAGAATTTATTTATGATGTCTACTTTTTGGAGACATGAGTCTACAGTGGCTTTTCACATATTCTAGAAAGGTACATAAAATAACCTTTTTGTTTTCTGATTTGTTTGGTTGACCATTTTTTTGTACTTTTTTTTTCTTAATTAGGTAAATTGCTTGGGTGATACATATCCTCTCTCTTTTCCTTCCTCCTTTTTTATTTTAAAACATTTGCAGATCATGAGTCGGTTCAGTGGTGTTATGACAACTTCATTAACTACAGGTCCCTGATGTCTGCAGACAATGTACGCCAGCAGCTGTCTCGAATCATGGACAGATTTAATTTGCCTCGTAGAAGTACAGATTTCACAAGCAGAGACTATTACATTAATATAAGAAAAGCTTTGGTTACTGGGTATTTTATGCAGGTATGTGAAGAAAAATAAGGTAAAAGTCCACTGCTCACACTGGTATTCTTTGCTTTTCTCTAATTGGTCTTTAATTTGTCAAATATAAAATGAATTTAAGAAACCCAGTGAAAATTGCTCTTAAAAGATTGTTTAGTCGGATGTCTCAGGAGCTTTTATTAAGAAATTTTATGTGTCTAAGAATGTGTAACCAATTAACCCAGTAAAAATGGCAAAATTGGCATTGCAAATTACTCATACTTAAATTTTAGTTTTATTAATGTAATCTAAATTGTATCAAATGGCCAATCTGGTCATTATGAAGCTGTATAACTGACATTTATTACTTGAAAAGTATGAAAAGAAGGCATTAATACTTGATACATTTTTTTTAAATTAAAATTTCTTAATCTAAACAACCAGGCAACTCACATAACCAGAATGTTGACTACGTTGTACTAAGAAATGATTATTGGTACTCATATAATGATGACCCTGAGGTGCAGAGTTGTGCTTTGAATTATTCTTTTTTAGCCTTAGTCTAGTTTAATTTTATAACTAGAAGCAAAATTTGAGCTTTTTCAGCAGCTGTTGAACACAGAAAGTCTAACTAGGTTTAGTGAGTCAGATTCTACTCATTCCAGTGTTTTATGTGCCACTTGCAGATCCACATAATTCCTGAAACTGCTTCCCTGAGCATTGTTTATAATTAAACTAGTGGAGAATTACAAGCTGGTTTTCATTCTGTTTTCCCTTTAGGAGAGGATATTTGTACCCATGTGGAAAATGTCATTATTCCATAAGGTGGAGCATGGAGTCGCTTTCTTCCTACTATCAGCTTTTAAATGCTTTCTCCATTCTTTAGGCAGTCTCACCTACTGCCATGATGTGTTATCATTCCTCTCCCTTATATCCAGTTAGTTGTCAACTCCCATTGATTCTGCCATCAAAGTATTTTTTACATTAATGTTCTCATCTTCATAGTACCATAAAATTTGTTTTAAATTTGCTAACTCCATGCATAAACTGTTAGCTAGCTTTGGGCTAGCTGATAACTAGAAAGTATCAGAAATTAAATTTTTCTCTTGTTCCCTATGCAGCTCCGATTCCCAGATCCCTGTAACTGGTTCTTCTCTTTTCCCTCTTCCATCCCACACACCCTATTCTTTTCCCGCTCAGAGGTTACAATGTTGTATGTTGCTTCTATGGACATAGCTATTTACATGTTGTTTTCCACATTACGATACCCTTGAGAGCAGGGACTGTGCCTATCTTTATATTCCCTGCACTTAGGACAATACCCAGCACATAGTAAGACTAAATAAATGTTTGTTTACCCACTGGTCTCTCCGACTTAAGGCTTTCCTTTCTTCAATCCATCTTTCAGATAACTGACTTTAGAGATCTGGACGTATCTCTTCTATGCTTGAAAAAATCAAAATCCTTAACCTGGCATTAAGATTGTCTTCATTAAACACCACTCATTTACATATTCCACCTCTGCTAAACTTGGGCTAATAGCTGTTCCTCAATCTCATTATGCCCTCTCCTGGCCATCCCCCATGCCTAGAGTGTATTTCTTCCACATCTCTACCTATTAAAATACATCTCTTCAAGTCCCAGCCACTTTTCTAGGTGCTTTCCCTGACTTCTGCTTCCCTAAGTATCCCTAAGAGCATTTTAGGTATCTCCCTATGTCAAACTATGTCCTGTATCATACTTATTTCCACATATGCCTTATCCTTTCTGTCCATGGCTTTCATAATTAAAGAGGCTTTTCTCTGTGTTTCTGTGTGTCAGTTTATACCGATCTACAACTCTGTTTGTCTCTGTGTATATATATTCTTTTATATAAGCTGTATTGCCAAAGAATCATAGCATAGGACAAATTATATCAACTGATAATATCAGAGATATTAAGGAAGGACAAGCCTTTTGCTTTTATGAGAATAAACTGAACAGAGAAACCAGGGTGAGAACATTTTTCTGTCATATAGTAGAATTATAGAAAATAGTCGATTGCATAAAGTCCTTGCATTTTTGTCACTAGAGTTATCTGGAACTGTACCTATGCTTTAATTGTCATTGCTTTTTCCTTTTCATTCTATGATTTTACTGATTATACTAAACATGTGAATAATAAGACTAATTGAACATTGTGTGTCTAGTCTGTTTTAGAATGATCTACTTTACTATGAACCCATTGCAATACAAAGACAAGAACCACTTTTAATCTTCCAGGACCTTGAAAGATAGTTGATTTGCCTTGTATTTTCAGGACAGAAACCCTACAAGTGCTCATATTATCTCATTCCTTTACTTCAACCCTTAAGAAATTCCTTTAAATTTTAAATATTTTCTGATTAATTTCCTCTGGTATTATCTATAGGAGAAAAAAAATTTTTAACTTAGCATTTTCTGTGTTACAGCTCTATATTTGGATGTTGGGTTTTTTTGGGGTTTTTTTTTTTTTTTTTTTTTTTTTTTTTTTGTTTTTTTGTTTTTTTTTTTTTTTTTGGTGGTGTTTTGTTTTGTTTTTTTGGTATGTCTTTCCTTAGCCTTCCTTTTTCCAGGCTAAAAATAGTCCTTTAAAAATATTAAGTAGACCTTATTAACCACAATAGAGTGCTTGTACAGAAGAATCTTTAAAGTAAATACAAATACAAAGCAGTACTAAGGCTATTTTTTTTTACTCAATTTCTAACACTTGATGAGAAAAGAAATACCTGTATAGTTGGAGCTTATCTGCTTGCTTTTATATCTAGTTGAGTCTTTTTAAACACCGCATGTCCAAAGATGGAGAGTGCTGGTGGGGAAGGGAGATAATCTACCTTCATTCTCACCTCACTTAATTTTTAACTTTATCTTGATAATCTTTTATTATTTAAAATACCAATACTACTGATGTTTTGAAAAGTAGCATTTTTAAGGCAAGCGGAAGAGAAAATAATTGTGAGAACATTTTTATCATATTTTTAAGCATCTTTTGCCTTAAAGATTTAAATTCTCCAGTTTGCTTTTTCTCCAAGGTATTATAAATTATGTTATATTAACCTAACACTAGATTTTAAAACTATACTTAAAATTTTGAATGATATAGTTTATCAAACAAGTAAGTAATCTGTTCATCTGGAATCTAATCCTAGAATCCTAGGATTTCTTCAGAGCTGGAAAGAATCTTAGAATTCATCTAATTCCATCCTTCTTTTATAGAAGAGAAAGAGACCCGAGAGATAACTGATTTTGTCCCATGTGCTGTCTTAATTTTCCCCACTATTATATGATCTGAGTCAACTCATTCAACTAATTCGATTTTTTTTAATGAAGCACTTGATTTAATAATGTAGTATTTTGTTTAGCCATTCCTTTATTTCAGAACCTAGTCTGAAATTGAAAGCATTAGTTCCCCATCGCTTTGATTTACTTAATTTATGTAATCACTATTATGCACCATCATTTTATCAGTGAGAACTAGAAAATTAACTTTATAGGTGATAGAAGCTTTTGCAGATCTTATCAGACATGGAATGGATTGAGAGGGCAGTATTATATAATGGGAAAAGCCCTGGATTTGGAGTCCAGAGACCTGAGAAGAAAAATAGATGTCATGTCCTTTACTAGCTTTGTGGCAGCCTTACTTATATCATGTCATCTGTGAATACTAACTATCTCACAGGGTTGTTTTAAGCAAAGTGCTTTATAAACTGCAAGGCCTTATAATTAGTGTTATAAAGATTTATATGCTTGATGAGAAGAGTGATATCAGTTCTGGGTGAAAATGTTGGTGCTGTGAGTATGACATTATATGCAATGATCCACACTCATAGATTCCCATTTTGCAAAGAAGCAGGCAGGGGAGGTACCTTCTCATCTTTTCATTTAAGTCCAAGGATGGTTACTTTGCAGCATTTATTTTTAATTGTTTTGTTGAAGTTTTTTTCTATTTATATTTTTATAATCATTTTATATTATTTTTCTGAATTCTGCCAACTTGTTTTGTGTCACTTCATGTAAGTTTTGTCATGCTCTTTTGTATTTGTGACATTCATAATTTCTTAAAGCACTGTAATATTCCATTCTATTTATTAACTAGTTTGTTTAGCCAGTCCTCAATCAAGGGACATTTATTATTTATCTCTAGTTTTTTGCTACTGCAAAAATGCCTATATAACCTGTGTGCACGGGGGCTGTTTTTACAGACTTCATCTTAATTGATTTCATATCTGAGGTAATTAGATCTAATAACCAGAACCTACCACAATAGCACCTCATTTATATATCATTGTTGGGAAGAAAGGTTTTAATTTTTGTATATTTTGCAGAGAGTTGAAGCTTTACCTTTTTAATCACTATTAAAAAAATTAACCATTTTGTTAGAAAGTGTTTCTTGAATGTATTTAATACTTCCCTGAACATAAGGAAAAGTGAAATCTTTTCTTCCTCATCCTTCTTGGCCTTTCTGTTAAATAACCCTCCTCCTAGATGCTCTTCCCTGAGTTGACATAAAATTGTTATTCTCTGCTCAGTTTTCCTCTTCCTACCATTCTTACTGCTTCTTACTCTCCTTTGCTAGATCATTATCTGTGTCTCACCACCATCTGAGGGTGTATCCCATAGCTGTCCTGTGCCCTCTGTGTCAGTGACTCCCACATCTACATATTGAATTCTTATCTTTTTCTTGAGCCCCTAGTCTTCTATCACATTGCCTGATGAATATTTCCTCCTGGGTGTCCCATAGACATTTGGCACTTTGACTTATTTTAGACATCATTTGTTAACTGTTGAAGTATATTCATGGCCCTAGATGCTGTCCTTAGTCTGCCAGTAGGCTAGAAAACCAAGTTTGTTAGGTTTGGATCAATTAAGTTCAATAATTTGAATAAGCATCCATTTTGTACTAGCCCTGTCTTCTCTTTGGTGAGAATTGGTTATAAAATAACATCACTACTACTTTTTATACTCTTTATTAGAGGTCATAGAAGCATGAGATTTAGTGCAAGAAGGGACCTTAGAGTGATCACTTTTTCTGATCACTTAATTTTACAAACTAGGAAACTGAAGCTCAGAGGTATGAGGTATAAAACCACCCAGGTAATAATACTGGGTTCAGCTATCTGATTCCACGTTCACTGATCTGTGAGTTGTATTCCAGGAAACTGCATATAAAGCATGTAAAGATGAAGCATACAAAATTTGATTTTATATATGAAGTTATCTTCATCCCCTCTAACTCTAGAAGTAGCCAAAAGAGAGGGCTAAAAGAAAATAATAAAAAGAAGTCTTTATTAGGTAGTTTACATGATGGGAAGCGGTGGAATCTAAAGCAACAAAAATTGGAGGTGATAATCTATAATGACTTAAATAAGCATATTTTAAACCACTTTAACTTTTCAATACTTGGAAGCATTGTATTGATTTAGTTTGGTTTTGATTTTAGGTGGCACATTTGGAACGAACAGGGCATTACTTAACTGTAAAGGACAACCAAGTAGTGCAGTTACATCCTTCAACTGTTCTGGACCACAAACCAGAATGGGTGCTTTACAATGAATTTGTTCTTACAACAAAGAATTATATCCGGACATGTACAGATATCAAGCCAGAATGGTAAGCAGATGTTTTTATCTATAATGTTACATTTTTCCTTTGAATCATGTGGTAGAAAAATAGTTTATACTGTGTGTGATATGCTAAGTCAGGGGTGGGGAACCTGCAGCCTTGAGGCTACATGTGGCCCTCCAGGTCCTCAAGTACGGCCCTTTGACTGAATCCAGACTTCACAGAACAAATTCCCTTAATTAAAGGATATGCTAAGTGAATGTGCTGGTTGAAGATGTCTAGACATTAATCAGTTTATGAATTAGCAAGTTCAAAGTGAATAAAGGAATTACATTTGTAGTATCATGTTATGTAGGGTCTTCTCGGTTATTATTGTTCGTTTCTGTTTTTTCCTTTTTACACACTTGATATTTCACTTGATATGCCTGGAAAATTGACTCAGACTGTGCTTGTTTTGCTCCCTGTATATGAAGTGTTCACTCCACAGTAACTGTGAAGAGTTCACAGTTAAGTTGTTTTGCTGCTTACTAGTCACAGGGACTTCACAGTTCATATCTTTCATTCATATGTAAATATAAGCATACCTGTCTCAAGTGTGGCTAATATATTTAGCAATCAAATAAGATTATTAATTCATATTGATATCAGGTTTAATGTTTACTAAGCATTCACAATAAATTTATGAGGTAGATAATACAGGTGTTATCCCCACTTTATGGTATGAGAAAAGGGCAGCTAGGTGCTGCAGTGAATAGAGCACTGGGCTTGGAATCAGGAAGATTTGAGTTCAAATTGGGCCTCGGATACTTACTAGCTGTGTTACCATGGACAAGTCACTTAGCCCTTATTTGCCTCAGTTCCTCACATTGGAGAAGGAAATGGTAAAACCACTCTAGTATCTTAGCTGAGAAAACCCCATGGACAAAGTCACATAGAGTTGGATGCAACTGAACTACAATAGTATAAAAAAAAAAAGAAATAGAGGGTGAAGTGTTTTTCACAAGGTGGGCCAAGGGTCAAGCCTGGATTCGCACTTTGGTCTTGTAATTCCAAAGTACTTTCTGCAATACCTTAGTTGTTCCATAAACTTACAAGGGCTGCCATTGGAGCCTTCCACAGGACACAGTATGTGTTCTCTGACCTACAAAAGTTTTTTTTTTTTAATAGACTAATAGAAAATGTTTACCATTATTTATCCTAGTTCTTATATTTCTCTCAAAGTCTTTTAGGTTCATTAGATCACTTCCTTATGTCTAAAGTCTTCAGTGGCTTGTTTTCACTGTGTCCACTCAAATATCGAGGTCTGAGAAGGTCCCCCACTAGTATAGTTTTACTGTCCATTTCCTTCTTTAACTATTACTTAACGTTTTCCTTAAAGAATTTGGATGCTGTGCCGTGTGGTACATTCCCTTTACTTTCCACCAGACCTGTGATTTTATCGGTATAGGGAACTCCCAGTGCAGATTGGCATCTATATTAATGAATAAAGAATTCGTTCTTAGTGGAATGTAAATTCTGACAGGGGCCATCTCCGGTCATCTTAATCTATATCTTGCCACTGATCCCAGATGGCTCCAGAGGAGAAAGTGAAGCTGGTTACCTTGCACAGCCTTCCCTCACTTAAATCCAATTCACTTGCAAGTCATGACGTTATCTTCTTGATGTCATGGTTCTCTTTGAGAATGAAGGACAAACAACAACAATAAATTCTGAGATAATTTATTATGTCCTGTATTTATTTTCTCTATTCCACGTTGGTAACTTAGCAATTTACTTTTGTGGAAGTGCAGTTTGGTTGATTTCCATGAAAATTTCTATGAAAATTGTTATTAACATCATAATTGGTAGCAGTATTGGTAAAATATTTTATGTGCTGTACATATGCAACCAGTGCTGATTGTTTCAGTGTAGAATTGTTAACTTCCTTGTTATTTATTACCAGAATCCAATCTTTGATGAGAGACACCAGGTTTTGCCCAGCATGGTTGGTTTCAGCACATGAAAGAACTTAAGTAGAGCCGCTTTATATTTCTTTGCCTCTTTTGTGGGATTTCTTTCTCTCTTTATGATACAGGGTTTTTGAAACCCGAACATAGAGAACATTGCTGTCATAACACAAATAATTGAGTAAATTTTCCAGTAAATCATCGCTAATAACTTAAAAGTAGTTAATTCCCTAGAATAGAGTATGATATCTATAGTCATTTAAAAAATAGAATTGAAGTTGAGTGGTAATAATCTGAGTAGAGCTGGTAGTAAGTAGTTTCCTTAAGATACTGAGAGATGCTATGTACCTCAGGTCTCCTTCAGTAATTTGAAGAGAGCTTTTTTACATTATAGTCTTCTGGAAGTGTCATTTAGGATTGCAGGTTTGAGATGAAAAAAATTTTGAAGTTGTTACAGCTTCTGAAACTTGAGATTATTATTTAATATTGGAATACTTGGAATATTTTGCATGCATTTTTATTAATGAATTGAATTTGCAGATTTTATTGTGTTCTTTATTATAATCATCTGTAACTATTGTTCAGGCAGCACCCATTGCGTAAAGGTCTTTTAATCAAATGTTAATATAATAACTTTTAACTTTTTATTGGCAGGTTGGTGAAAATTGCCCCTCAATATTATGATATGAGCAATTTCCCACAGTGTGAAGCAAAGAGACAATTGGACCGCATCATTGCCAAACTTCAGTCCAAGGAATATTCACAGTACTGAATTGAGTGCTTTGAACTGAAGTTGTTCAGAGGACAGCTTTAAAAGATGAATGAACTCAAAGTTCAAGTTGTGCTCTTCACGTTGGTTCAATAATGGCCTTTATTTGAAAGCTTTTTAATTTTTCTTTACAGTAAATATTCCATTCTGATTTCATAAATTAAACATTTATGCCTCCCTTTTGTGTTGACACTGTAGCTCATACTGGAAAAGTCGATCAATGTTTTGCAGTTTATTGAAAGTAGTTCTATATATAAAACAATGTTATAAGCATTTCTTTAGAAATGGTTGAAAATGCTTCTAAAATGTGATTATCGACCATGGTATGCATGATCGTTGTAATTGTTGACATTCCTTTTAGAAGTTGTGAAATGTTACAACTTGTGCTTATGTAGACACAATCTTCAGTCTCAGTACAGAGACAATGACTTCAATAAAGTCTATTTATACTAATTTTGGCCAGAGTACTTCAGTATCTTTGTTCTGGTCTCAGAATGGATAGATTCCCTTTCCCTTTCCCTTTCCTCCCTCAGTGTAAATGCTAAAGTAATGATAAACGTAACATCTGTGATAGGAGAAAAAGGTTTACATGTTATATATCTCTCATATAAACTCAGGTCAATTCAATTTTCTCTACAGTGACTTCTTCATAGAAATTAATCAGATTTATCATTCAGAGAGCCTATCCTGGAGTCTTGGTGTGTTAAATAAGATGTGATATAATTGAACAAAATGAGAATGCTAGTACATGGTTTTCATCCAACATAAAAATTCCAGAAGGCAGTATAGTGATGATTTTCCCTCAGAATATATCTTGGCCCGGAGTGGGGGGTGGGGGTGGGAGGGGCGGCAACACAGGACTGACATTTAAAGAAAGAGTTTCAGTTCAGTCTCTGACAGGTACTAGCTATATAGTTAATCCATGACCCTAGGCAGGTCACTTATCCTCTCCCGTGTCACAAGCAACTTAATTTAGTTGGGCCATTAAGTTGTGGGAAAGTTGCTGACCTACATCAGTGGATGGAATTTTCACACAGAATTTCCTGCACTGATGAAATCACAGGTTTTGATCCCCTTACCATCACCACACTACACTGTCCCACCTCCAAAAAGTAAAGAAAAATTGTATTACTAAATATTTTTAGAGATCATTCTTTTCCTGGATAGTTTAAAAGACAGTATCTTCATGTTGTTGGTTTGTGAAACTGATGCAGTGGCAAAGTGTCACAATAGATTCTGAGTGTTGAATGTCCTGGGCCAGGGAGCATCATTCATTTTAAAGGTAAAGCATTTTCAGATCATGAATTTGAATTTTTTACCTGGCAATTAGGCTAATAAAACTATCATCACGAGTCAAAAAAATAGTCCATTTTTGTTTCCAGGGGAAAAAAAGTTTCAATTTGTTTTCTGGATCTTACATTAATCGTTTTTTTCCTCAGTTGTAGGTGTCAGCTATTAAAATGAATGTGCTATTAAATAATACTTCATTTTGTCGATTTTTAAAGGTAAATTTATAGGTATATATTGAGGTATATATTGAGATTCAAAGGTATATTTAGTAGTTGATTTTTTGGATTTCTAGGATTTGGTCCTCCTTTGTAACATTAACTCTTTGAAGCCACTAAGGCCTTACATAATGGTAAGCTGTCATTTACTAAATAGTACCCTAGTGACCTTGAAGGAACTAATGTATCTAATTTGTTTCCAAAGAATAATTTCTATACTAGGAGATTATGCCTGATTACATTTGGAATACATTTGTAGATCAATTTAAAAACTCACTGCACTTGAGTCCTTTGGCTACATTACCTGCTAGGGGCCAATGTGTTTCTTTTTCTTTCTTTTATTTTTTTTTTTCCTTTTTAAAGGCTATGCTTAATAAAAGTGACCTACTGGCACTTGGCTCAAAATGTGTTTTCATGGGAAAGTATTGTCAAAGGAATACACTTATAAAAATGACCTGTTTAAAAATCTATGCTTACAAATGTATAGTTTCTGGGTCATTGTGAATGTCAATTGGAGCCTTTTACAGTCTATAAAAATCTATAGATTCCGATGTGGCTTACTTAAAATGGAATAATCTTGAACTTTAAATTTGATGCTTGAAAGCTATGCATTTTTGTAGGTATTGAGCAAAGATTTTCAGGTTTTCAGAGCAGAGTTTAGCAAAGTTTCTAGGAAAAGTAGCATCAGTCTAATAGGTAGGCTGTTTGCTAGTGGGGATTAACATTAGGAGACAGTAGATCTAGGCAAGATCTGGATCTTGCCTTCATCATGTTTAACAGTGTTTTAACCTGACCAAAGCTTAGGCTTTCTAATGATTGAAAAACGTATGTAAGTGACATTATGTACCATGTTTGTTATAAAGATTGCCAATTCCTACTTTAGAATTAAATTTTGCTTAATATGTTAAATTGTTTTGCATTTTATTTTCCCAACAAAGAATTTGGGGTTAGTTTTCCAATGAAAAAGGCAACTGTTAATTTAATGTTCACTGTACCCTTTAAATTACTTACTTAATTTGGAGATTAAACAGAGTCATAGAATTTTAGATGAGGAGACTGAGGTCCAGAAAGGATAAGCCCATAATCATATGGCCAGTTAGTTAACTGCTATATATTAAAAATAAGCCAGACTGTGTATCAAAAGACAAAGGGTTTTTTTTTGTTTATCTTCTCGAGCTAGGAAATTTTTAAAGCCTATTTAGACAAAAAAGGTCTCTCCTCATGTCTTTAAGTATTAGCAGCTGCTTTGAGGAAGAGAGGACTTTAAGAGAGAAAAATGGCTAAAAGGTTGATATCTAGAACGCAACCGTAGAATTATAGGACTTTTCTATGGCCCCTTAGAAGTTCTAACAATTTACCACTCGGTAAAAAAAAAATGCTTCAAAAGCATCATCGTAACAATTCAGCCAGTGCTTAAATACCTCTGTCAAAGAGTAGTAGCTCTGTTGATGTTCTGATCTCTCTCTTTTTTTTGAAGTTTTTCCTTATGTGGATTTGAAACATTGTTATTTGCATACCCATCTGTTATTTTCTAATCTTCAGTAGTGAGATAGAACACCTTTATTCCTTTTTCTGCATGATATTTGGTATATGAAGAGTTTTTGAGTCTCCCTTTACATTATTTTCAGATGTTTCACCCTTCTGATTGGGTTTTCTTGGATTGATCCAAGGTTGATTGATCTTTCAAGGTTGCACACACAACTGAACACCATGTTCTAGATGTGGTCTATAGGACCACTTATCAGATACGTTGATTGGTTCAGCTAGATTGATGCTGAAGTTTCTTCCAGCTTTCAGATTCGGTGCTTGTTTAGTTCATTTGTCAAAAGTACGGATTAGAATAGAACACTTGAGGTTTGATTCCACCTCTAAAAATCTGTGCTTCTAATGTAGACTAAGATAAAAGAATTTGGGGTTGTTGTGAGTTGATTTGGTAATAGCAGTGTCTGAAGGGATTTTATCACGTTTGACAAGGTCAGTTCTTTAAAACTTTTTTCACATTGCTACTGAGCCAACCATTCTCGATACTGTCGTTGACTTTTTGAACATCTCACAACACATTTTAAAATTGTAAAATCTCTTACTAGCAATCTGGAAACCTCAATATAGTAATGATAAGGATGCTGCTAAAGAATTTTGTCTTGGTTTATAGTTTGTATAACAAAGTGTTCTTTCTAGTATAGTGTTAATGCTTGCTGCTGCTAATAAAAGCTGAGAATTTAGTTAGTCGTGTTAGTCTTGTTCCATTAGAATCAGGACAGGTGTATTTGATAGTTAAATGTAACAAAAGAAGGTTTGTATACTTGATTTTTTTTAATTGTCCCATGGAACAGTTACATCTGATTGTATTCCTGAAAATGTGCAAATAACAAATTTGGCCAAATCTAGTCATTCAGCATATATTGTTTTGAGTGCCTGCTGTGTTCAAAGTAATGTCCTAGAATTGAGGTAGTTAGAAAAATATGAGAGGCCTACCTGGCCCTGCTTCTTTCAAGGACTTACACTCTAAATAGGAGAGATCTAATGGACGTTACTTTGAACCTGTATGTGATCAGTATAGTAAAAAAATAAAAAAAAATAGAAAGTGTTGTGGAAGTTCTAAGGTGAGAAAGCTCACATCCATGAGGAAAAGCTTCATTAAGGAACAGATGGGATTTTATCTGATACCTGAAAGCTAGTTAGGATTTTAGCTAGCAGGTGTTCCTGGGAGATAACAGCATGCCAGGCTTGTAGGAAAGAGTTCAGGGACAGAAAGTTTGGCCAGAGGTGAGAAACAGTATGCAGTGTCAGAAGTCGAAAGACACAAATTTCAAGACTACAAGAAATGGAAGATGAATATGAAGAACAGGTCATAGGGATCTGGTGAGGTTGAAACGAAGAGAAGTACTTTTAGTGGCTTTAGGGAAGTCTGATTTTTTTTTTTTTAGCAGTTATGTGAATTTGGAGAAGGCAGTTTCAGTAGAATAGTGGTTAGATTAAACTAATTTGCAAGGGATTTAATAAGGGTAAATGAAATAAAGGCAGAGTTTGTAATACCCTCTTGGAGAAATTTGGTGGAAGGGAAAGCGTAGAAGAATCTTAGAAAAGTTTTCGCTTGTTTTTTAATATTAGAGGGCTGAATGTGTTTTTAGGCAGAAGAAAAGGAACAACTGGAGAGGATAAAAGTTGAAGATATGTGAGGGAGATGGAATTAAACACAAGTGAAAGGGCTAGCCTTGTAGAAAAACAAGGAATGAATTGGAATACCGATATTTTGGAAAGTTGTGAGAACTCATTTGCTTAGAGTGGAATAGAGCTAGAAATGTGGAATGTCAAAAAGATTTAAGGCAGCTGCTATGTGGGATAAAATAAAGATTAAGGACAAAAGGTTTACCAAGCAGCTTGCCAGACAAGGTTAGGTAATATAAGTTTAGCATGGATATATGTAGAAAATGGTTGGCGGAGGGTTGCCCAGGGTTGGAGATTGGAAAGGCCAACCTTTTGGAATTTTGGGTTTAGGGAGTGATGTGAGGTGGTGTGAGGGATTTAAGAATTCTTATGATTTAATAAAAGGATCTTTTGGAAATCATAAAATGCTGTTATTTGTTTTTATAAAATTAGGGCTATACCTGTATTTTACATGATAACATTTTCCCAATGTTTTAAGCATTTGTTATGCATTAACCAGAAGCAATAGTGACAATTCTTTCTTTTACAGAGAGTTCAATAGGGGATTTGATATTTATACAGAGTGAATTGCCTTCATTTCCAACAATAAATTTTCTACGTGATTCGAAGGGTGTTCACAAGTCATTTGAAATACAGAGTTTTAGTTCATTTCTATATATTAGTCATGCCTAATATCTGAGGAATGATCAGAAGAAAATTAAGATGGCTGCTTTTACTGAGAGCAATTTGTTGCATGGAAGCTCTTTGAAAGAATGATTTGGGGAAAAATGTTTCTTAATG